CTCCTCAGAATGAGTCCTTTTTCATCTTTAAACCTCGACATGTAAAACAGGTGCACTTTATTAATCCCCGAAGGGAATTTTGTCTTCTGCATTTGACCCACTAGTGGTCGCCGTAGTAACAGCGCCCGGGAACCATCTCGAGATTCGGCTTGGTCATGGTTGGGATATAAGGATTATATCCATCACGTACATGTTTTTAGTGGTAGGGGAAACCGGAGCACCTGGAAGAAACCTACACAGACACGGGGAGAACATGCAAAATCCACTCAGGTAGACCCTATTCCGACCGGGATTCGAACCCATGACTCTCTTGCTGAAAGGCGAGAGTGCTAACCACTCCGGCCCCGTACAGTCTTACAGTACAGAGCAAAAGTGTGGACACCCTCCTCCTTCACTGAGTTCTGTTCATGACTATTGCTGTAGACCCGCACCAGACGGTTTTGGACCTGAACCCAGTCCAGACGGTTTTGGACCTGAACCCAGTCCAGACGGTTTTGGACCTGAACCCAGTCCAGACGGTTTTGGACCTGAACCCAGTCCAGACGGTTTTGGACCTGAACCCAGTCCAGACGGTTTTGGACCTGAACCCAGTCCAGACGGTTTTGGACCTGAACCCAGTCCAGACGGTTTTGGACCTGAACCCAGTCCAGACGGTTTTGGACCTGAACCCAGTCCAGACGGTTTTGGACCTGAACCCAGTCCAGACGGTTTTGGACCTGAAGCCAGTCCAGACGGTTTTGGACCTGAAGCCAGTCCAGACGGTTTTGGACCTGAAGCCAGTCCAGACGGTTTTGGACCTGAAGCCAGTCCAGACGGTTTTGGACCTGAAGCCAGTCCAGACGGTTTTGGACCTGAACCACAGAGTGAAGGGGCCATAAGTGCAAAGCATCATGGGAACTCCTTCCAGACTGTTGGAGACCATTTCAGGTCCTGTTGAAGCTCATCCAGAGAATGCCAAGAGTGAAGCAGTATCAGAGCAAAAGGAGCTACTTTGAAGAACCAGAATATTATAAATATAACACATATTTACACTTGGTTCATACTTTTTTACTACGGACATAATTCACATGAGTTCATCATAGGTTTGATGCCCTCAGTGTCAGTCTACAGTTTTCATAATCAACTTTTGCTCTGTACGGTACATTCCATACATCTTGCCTTATTTACTAAAAAACCTAAAAACCCCATACCCTTGGTGCCAAAGGAAGCTCTCGGGGCCACAGCCTGAAAAGTCTGGTCCCACCAGCTCCAGTAAAATGTTTGTGTGACTCTCGCAGGGTTTGCTTTTAGTCTGTTTCTGTGAAACACTGATGTTCATCTGTGGAAGGCGTCGCTGTGACGAGTGTCTCACCGTCTCCAGGTGGTTCTGCAGCTGCTCTTCCAGACTCTTCTTCTGCTCTGAGACCATGTGCAGAGTCTGCTCCAGCTCAGTAATCTGCAGTGAGACGTCAGGAGAGTTTATGTGTGAGTCTGTTGTTGCATCAGGATCAGGGTCTGGTACAAACCTGTGTCTGCAGAGAGTCTGTGCTGCTGTCCAGGACCTGCTGCAGCTGCTGCTTCTGTTGTGTGAGAGCAGCAAGAGTCTGCTGCAGCTGATCTTTGTCCTCACTGAGACCTCTCACTCTGGACTCCAGCGTCTGCAGCTCGTCTGAGGAGCTTTTCTTGTGTTCTTGTAGATGCTGGAGTTCCACTTTAAGTGTCCTGATCTGTTCAGATTATTACAATACAATTACCTACATATCTCAATGTAAAAAAAAAATACCGAATATAATATAAAATCAAAATTATATAATATATTTTTGGAATACTGGGCTTGGACTACAGATCACCCACTTGTGCCTCATGTTTTTCAGGCTGATCAGGAGCAGACTCCTCAGCAGTCTGTGCTTCCAGCTTCTGAATACACTCCTTTTGGGAACGGATCTTCTCTTGAGTAATCCTGAGTTCGTCTTGGAGCTCGATCATCTGTTGAAAGAAAAGATTAGATAAAACTGGAATATAACCAGGAATATGTGAAGCTTTACATCAGGAGGATCTCACCATTTCAATGTTCTCTTGGAGGTCAGCCTTGAGTTGGTCCCTCTCCTCTGTCAAAGCGGCTAAAGACGAAAAGCTGTGGTCTCTCTCCTGCTGCAGCGAGACCAGCTCCTGGGACACAGTCTGCATCTGTTGGTTCAACTCTGACACTCTCTGCTGATGAAGCGCCTCCTCGCTGGACAGCTTCTGCATCTCCTCCTCAAGCTGCTCTTGAAGGGAAAGCACAAGACTTCCGGCCTCGGGAACCTAATAAAAAAATGTTGTGGTTTAGCAAATTATAAATGTAATTTCTTATAATCATTGCAATAGTTTCAAGACACTTTGACATAAATAATAGATTCGATAAAAAAACAAAAGTGACAAGTGAGGCTTAATTCTGTTGGTTCAGTATTTAAAAACTAAAAAGGGCTGAGTGGAAAAGGGAGGTGAACCCCCATAGTCTGTACCAGGAGTGACAAATCAGTGGTTGCAGGATTTCATTCCAACAAAATAGCAGCAGACCCCACCCATGTTCAAGGCTTCAGGTTCAGACTGAACTGAAAAGTGAGAGTGGAGTCTGGTGTACTCCTTGGTTGGAATGAACTCCGGTATCCACACCCGATGATGACCGGTTAGACATCCAGACGACCGAAGCAGGAGAAAACTAGGCTGATGACTCCTCGTTAGAATCCTGTGGTGTGACTAAACCAACCTGTTCCATGCGCTGTTGCAGGGCGTCCCTCTCCTCACAGAGCGACTGCAGCCTGCTCTCCCATTCCAACATGGCCGCCTCATTTGTGGCCTGTGCGTTCTGCAGCTCTGACGCCGCCTGCTCCAGCTGCGAACGTAAAACCATCGACATGACAGTGCAGACGTTTCACTTTCCTGCTGTCAGTGACTCGCACTTGAGGCCAACGTCGCAGTAACGAGGTCTTTGTGTCACGTTTGGGGCCACAAGTCACTAAACTGAATAACATCATATTTACCAGGACATGAGCATCCTTTATTAGTCTGTGGGAACTTCAACAAAACTTATACTGTGTTTGTTTGTCCACATAAATCCACTATGTCTGCATGTTTTGTCATTATAGTCTGTGAATGTTTAACGCAACATAGATATATCTAACAGAATATGTAAATCTAATACTGTGCATTTAAGTGTTCTGTACTTTCTGTTGGATTGCCAAACTGTAAATACTGTATTTGTGAAAACTCAATAGACATAATGTAAAAAAAAAAAAAAAAAGTTGAATAATATCAATAAATTGTGAAAAAAGGTCAAAAGTGTTGTGACTAGGGCTGCAGCCAAAATCTCTAAAGTTAAAAGTTTTAATAGTTTAAGTAGAAGTGTTTGACTGTCCAGGTCAGAAAAGTCAAACGTACTTGTTCCTCGAGTTCTTTCTGAATGTCTTCATCAGTTTTTCTGGTCTCCTCACAGTTGGAAACCTTTTCTTCCAATTCCCTTTTGAGCGTGTGGATCTCCTGCAGCTCCTCCGTCAGGGACTTTCTCACACACTCACTTTCTTCAAGCTTTAAACACAAACACAGCTTGAGTTCTGGATCTACAGCCCGTCATAACTTCCTTGAGAAAGTTCTTTGGATTAAGAATGAAACCTGAACCCAACTGAAGTACAGATGAGTGAGAGCTTCCTTTGTTTTGATTAATCTGTACGACAGATCTTTACACAAACATATGCCTGAGCTAACACAGCAGCAGAAGGACGTCCAGTTAGGGGCTGATGTCCTAAAGTTCTCTCGGTACCTGCTTGGTGAGCGTCCTGAAGTCCCCTCTGTACCTGCTTGGTGAGCGTCCTGAAGTCCCCTCTGTACCTGCTTGGTGAGCGTCCTAAAGTCCCCTCAGTACCTGCTTGGTGAGCGTCCTAAAGTCCCCTCGGTACCTGCTTGGTGAGCTTCCTAAAGTCCCCTCGGTACCTGCTTGGTGAGCGTCCTAAAGTCCCCTCAGTACCTGCTTGGTGAGCGTCCTAAAGTCCCCTCAGTACCTGCTTGGTGAGCGTCCTAAAGTCCCCTCAGTACCTGCTTGGTGAGCGTCCTAAAGTCCCCTCGGTACCTGCTTGGTGAGCGTCCTAAAGTCCCCTCAGTACCTGCTTGGTGAGCTTCCTAAAGTCCCCTCGGTACCTGCTTGGTGAGCGTCCTAAAGTCCCCTCAGTACCTGCTTGGTGAGCGTCCTAAAGTCCCCTCAGTACCTGCTTGGTGAGCGTCCTAAAGTCCCCTCAGTACCTGCTTGGTGAGCGTCCTAAAGTCCCCTCGGTACCTGCTTGGTGAGCGTCCTAAAGTCCCCTCGGTACCTGCTTGGTGAGCGTCCTAAAGTCCCCTCGGTACCTGCTTGGTGAGCGTCCTAAAGTCCTCTCGGTACCTGCTTGACAGCGTCCGAAAGTCCTCTCGGTACCTGCTTGACAGCGTCCTAAAGTACTCTCAGTACCTGCTTGGTGAGCGTCCTAAAGTCCTCTCAGTACCTGCTTGGTGAGCGTCCTAAAGTTCCCTCGGTACCTGCTTGACAGCGTCCTAAAGTCCTCTCGGTACCTGCTTGGAGAGCGTCCTAAAGTCCTCTCGGTACCCTGCTTGGAGAGCGTCCTAAAGTTCCCTCGGTACCTGCTTGACAGCGTCCTAAAGTCCTCTCGGTACCTGCTTGGAGAGCGTCCTAAAGTACTCTCAGTACCTGCTTGGTGAGCGTCCTAAAGTCCTCTCAGTACCTGCTTGGTGAGCGTCCTAAAGTTCCCTCGGTACCTGCTTGACAGCGTCCTAAAGTCCTCTCGGTACCCGCTTGGTGAGCGTCCTAAAGTCCTCTCGGTACCTGCTTGGAGAGCGTCCTAAAGTCCTCTCGGTACCTGCTTGGAGAGCGTCCTAAAGTCCTCTCGGTACCTGCTTGGAGAGCTCGGCCATCTTGTCGGGGAGCTGCTGCAGTTCCTCCAGTTGGACGTGGAGCTCCGTGTTATTCTCCAGACACGCCGTCAAGTCCTTGTTTAGCTTTGTCACCGTTCTCTCGAGGTCAACGTTGTCGATGAGATCTGCAGAGGAGGAAATGGTGAGAAAGACGTGCGACGGTAACCATGACAACAGGGTAAAGCAGCCTCACTTTTAGGGACTTTGCCGTCGAGAAGAGAACCCAGTTTGACGTTCTCCTCGAAAGCAATGTTTAACTCTTTCTGAAGATCAAACTGCATTTTCTTGAATTTGGATTTCTCGCGCTCAAGCTGCGAGCGTAGACTGGCCAGTTCATGTTCATGACTTTCTGCGTTCAGAGTCAACGTTCCCTGCAAATAATAACAAAATAAATCAGACACTGGTTATGTTATGTTATATATATATATATATATATATGTTATATATATATATATATATATATATATATATATATCATATATACATACACACATATTAAAAATGCATTCAGAATGTAAAAATGTAATATTAACATTTTTCTCTTTCAGATCCATATTTTGAGAACGCAGACAGGCCCAGTCCTTCTTCGTGTCCATGCTGATCTTCTCGGCGTCGCCCAGAGAGCGCTGAAGCAAAGTCACCTCTTGAACCAAATCTTTACCGTTCTGCAGAGTTAGACCCATAGATTACAGATTAGGAGAGAACAGAGAGTTAGACCCATGGATTACAGATTAGGACAGAACAGAGAGTTAGACCCACAGATTACAGATTAGGACAGAACAGAGTTAAACCCATGGATTACAGATTAGGAGAGAACAGAGAGTTAAACCATAGATTACAGATTAGGAGAGACCAGAGTTAGACCCATTGATTACAGATTAAGAGAGAACAGACAGAGTACTGATGTTACCCTTCGTGTTAGCCTTAATGCAAAAGAGGCAGATTAGAAAGAAGTCCCCTTGCTAGCTGTAGCCGGGTTCAGAAACAGACGCTGCTGATGGTTCAGTCGTTTTGATACGGTTCATTTATTCTGGGGCAGTGTATAATCACTTAGTCCCGGGTTAGGGCTCATATCTGGATTTGGTGTAACTTTTATAATCTGTAATTTTATGTAATTGTGTGTAACTTTTGCGGCCTCTTGTCCAGGACTCCCTTGAAAAACAGGTTCTTAATCTCAATGGGACTTTCCTGGTTAAATAAAAGGTTGAATGAAAAGACAATATCACAATAACCACTAAGATTATCGAGAGCTTTAAACCACGGATTTAAGCCAAAAATGGCGAGTGAGCGGTTACTGAGCTTGTTTAACGGTTCAATGTCAGTCAATAGGAGCCAGAGAGAGTTGGAGCTAAACTCTGGCCATGAGCACTAATCACTAATCACAAACCATTGCCTGAAGCTCTTCGATAAAGTCACATTTCTTTTTCAGCTGAAGCGACAACATTTCCATTTCCGTCTGAGGAGAAGACGACACAATATTAGTGTTTTTGACTGATCATTTGTGCGTCTGCGTCTTACCTGTAACTCCAGACACTTCTGTTCAGATGAATCTATGACCAACTTTAACAGTGATATTTCCTCACGCTGCTCAAGCTGAGAGTTAAAACAAATGTTATTATACTTTTATTTTGAAAGACTTTAAAACAGTGTGTTCCTCAAACCTCATCATCTTTCCGGATTTGTGCTTCCAACATTTCAAACTCGTCCGTTTCTTGTTTTTCCTCAAGTTTTTTGCAAAGAGAAGATTTTTCTTTTTCAAGTGTTTGAATCTGCTCCAGAGACAGCCCCAGCTCCTCTTTGAGGTAATCGCGCTCCACAAGCAACAAATCCTGTCGAAAACATGGGATTCAAAAGAAGAAATATGAAGCATGAGGCCGTTTACTTTGACTTTCCAGGTTTTAAAACGTGAAATAATATCTTCAGTTGAATGTAGAAGGTGAAACAAGCGCGAAATAGGGAGAAGTAGAATGTTTTTTTACCCCCAAATCTTAAAATGGAAAAACACACAGATTGTAAGGACTAATGTATTTTAGTTTCAAAGGTTAAAACTGCTCTGAGTGTGATGTCATAGTTTTATAATGACATCATACTATAACAGGACTTAGGCCTGGACTCCACCGGGCGCGTCTCCGTTGACTGCTGTCCGTCAGACGTCCATAAAACGGACTAGTGGTCAAACCGGCTGCAGCAGCGCGCAGCTCTGGCTGTGCGTTTATCAGCCTGCTTTGTTTTTGTAGGAGACACGTTTGGGCATTGTGTGAATGAATGAATATTTGGCTGATGGAGTAGTAAGAGTAAGAGTGTGAGTGTGAGTGTGAGTGTGTGTCCGCAGCGTTTATTATGATCCAGCCTCTTCGTTTGTTTTCTATACTTATTTAGCGCGTCATACACTTTTATCTGACCCAACTCCCCTCTCCGCAACTTTAGGCAACAGGCAGCCGCTATAGTTTCAAATAGAGGAAGCAGTGTGTGATTTGAATGAGCTGTGGCTATGATCAGTGCAAAGCACAGCATATTGAAGCATTGAGGACGTCGCGATGGATGAGGCAAAACTTATTGAAAGCAAAAAGGGGAGAGAGAAAGGAGAAAAGAACTCCAGTGTTGTTGTGAGATCTGTCTTTCATAAGTGCAGTATAGCTCTGTGTGTGTGTGTGTGTGTGGGAGCGCGCGGCGGTGAGGAGAGAGCGCCTCGGAGGTAGAGGGGACAGAGCGAGAGAAAAAAAAGCGAGGTGTATGTAAAGATTAGCGTATTTACATTACGCGAAAAATGAATGGTAGATTTACGATCAGGAAACAATTGTTTAAAGTAATACATGAAGAAAATTACACAGGTTTGTTAATAATCATTGTCATTAACAAATACTTATAACCAAGGGCTACAGCATATATCAATACATGTTTAACAATGTTGTAAATATATTATTCCATTGTATTTTCAATGGAAAACGGACCCGACACGCGTCGACGGACGGAACAAATAGGATTGTTTCTATTTCGTCCGTCTGCGTCCGTTGCACCCTCCGTTAACGGAATACGTCCGACGTGAATCAGACGGACGCATGCGGAGGCAGTGGAGCCACTTCCATTCACCCTCATTGAGATAACGGAGACGGAGATGAAACGGACATGTGTGGACGGATCCGTCGTCCGTTTTACGCGCCCGGTGGAGTCGGGGCCTGAGACAGGAGAAGGGGCGGAGCTACACGTTTGTGTTAGAAGTTCCTGATATGAGCGTGGATGGATCTACAGTGCCTTGCGAAAGTATTCGGCCCCCTTGAACCTTTCGCCACATTTCAGTCTTCAAACATAGATATAAAATATCTGCAGTTCATCCAGAGTGATCATGGGCCTCTTGGCTGCATCTCTGATCAGTCTTCTCCTTGTTTGAGATGAAAGTTTGGAGGGACGGCCGGGTCTTGGTAGATTTGCAGTGGTCTGATACTCCTTCCATTTCAATATAATTGCTTGCACAGTGCTCCTTGAGATGTTTAAAGCTTGGGAAATCTTTGTATCCAAATCCGGCTTTAAACTTCTCCACAACAGTATCTCGGACCTGCCTGGTGTGTTCCTTTGTCTTCATGGTTCTCTCTGTGCTTTAAACAGAACCCTGAGACTATCAAAGAGCAGGTGCATTTATACGGAGACTTGATTACACACAGGTGCATTCTATTTATCATCATCAGTCATTTAGGACAACATTGGATCATTCAAAGATCCTCACTGAACTTCTGGACTGAGTTTGCTGCACTGAAAGTAAAGGGGCCGAATAATATTGCACGCCCCACTTTTCAGTTTATTTGTTAAAAAAGTTTAAATTATCCAATAAATTTCATCCACTTCACGATTGTGTCCCACTTGTTGATTCATGACAAAAAAATAAATTTTTATATCTTTATGTTTGAAGCCTGAAATGTGGCGAAATGTTGAAAGGTTCAAGGGGGCCGAATACTTTCGCAAGGCACTGTAAAAACAACTCCAGGTCCATTTTTGATGAGGGAACAATGTTACGGTGCTGCAGTGGTTAGAACTTTGTGACTGAAAGGTGCTATATAAATAAACTATAACATGGGGAAAGTTTCTTTTAACACTTTGGGTTGATACTAAAAAGATGATGAGAAATACCTTTTCCGAGGAGAGAGATTCACACAACTGGATGGCCTCTGAAAACTGCCTCCGCATCTAGAAATCAAATAATGTATCAATAATATTCTCCACCATGTAAGGTTGTAACCGTTTCTAAAATGAAATACCATTTTGGGCATGAATGGTTTTCTCTGGACTTTGTAAATGATTCTAGATACCTCAGAAATGACTCATGATATTGAAACGTGTTCATTCTTTGCTGAACATTTACTAAGGACCAGCTCCAAACCTGATTTTCGTCCGTCTGCGCCTCCTCCAGCTTGGCCTCTCGCTGCTGCGCCTCCTCCAGCTTGGCCTCTCGCTGCTGCGCCTCCTCCAGCTTGGCCTCTCGCTGCTGCGCCTCCTCCAGCTTGGCCTCTCGCTGCTGCGCCTCCAGCTGCTGTTCCAACTCCGTAACTCTGTCAACCAACGCTTTCGCCTTTGACTCCGCCGCGCTTTTCTCACAACTCTCGATCTCGAGTTGTTGCTCGAGGGCGGCCATTTTCTCAGACAAGTCCCTCAGCTGCTCCCCAGACGCTGATTCTTTAGGACTAGAGTGAAAGGCAAGAAAAAGGCATTAGGTTTAACTATGGTTTTATTTGGGAAAACCGTCTCAAGCGAATGCAAACACACCTGTCTCCAAAGCTGCGTGTTGTTATAGAGGTTTGAGTGGCATCCATGTCTTCTGGGAGCTCCTCAAACGCATCCCACGGAGGATAGAATTCTTGATCTACTTTAAAAACAAAACAAAAACGTATAAGAAACCAGTTATAAGTTTGTCCAAGCAACATCAAATTGGGTAGAAATACATAGACATCATTGATGACAAAATACAAATAAATCCTATTCCACACTCATCCCCTTTGAGTCAAGACTGGCTTTTTCCAATCATAGCATTTCTTGTTTTTGATTCTCTGATCTGTGTTGGTGAAGCGTTGTTTTGTAACTTCCTCTGAGATAACTGTTGTATTTAGTTTAGATACAGTAGATTAAAGGCAAGTGTCATGTTATACCAGCAGCAGGGATATTACCCAAACTTGCACACAAAATAATTCTGTGAAATCCCAAAGGTCGCAAAAGGAACCATGTTGAAGCGAGTGACCACAGGATTTCTCCATCGTGAGATCAATAAACTTGATTTTATCTTAATGGTGATGCATCGGTTTTATACAGTGCTTTTCTGGACACTCAAAGTCCTTCACATGTCATTATTCTTCACTCCAAACACAGGTGATAAACTACTGTAGCCACAGCTGCCCTGGGGCACACTGACAGAAGCGAGGCAACCAGTCTGTGCCATCGGCCCCTCCCACCACCACCAACCATTCACACACACACCAGACTCATTCTAGGCAATGGGGGTGAAGTGTCTTGCCTAAAGACACAACAACAGCAGACAGTGGGAGTCAAGGTGGTGAAGGTCGGGCTCGAACCCACGACCCTCTGGCTCAAAGGCCAATGCTCTACCAACTGAGCCACTGTCGCCTGCATTGTATGGTTTCATATTCCAGTGTGGTCATTTGTTGAGGGGACTTTGAGTAATATACGTCTTTGCTTCATTCAAGCCCTTTTTAATCCTTGTCCTGTGCTGCATTCTCTGTGGAAGTATAAGATTAAAAATAACAAAAGGACAAACTCACATGGCTCAATGCAGGAGACGTTGACTCTCCTCCTTTTGGCCATTTCAGAAAGAACAGCCTCAGAGGACGCACTGGAGGTGGCTGCGAGTCGAAGCATCTTCCCGCCCCAGGTCATCCTGCGTTTCGGAGCCTAAAAGATCATATCTGGTCAAACATAACTGAAGAAGAAAGGCTAAATGTCTTGATCCACAACAGAAATAACCAAATCTTTAAAAAGTCAAAAGTGAAAGAGATAAAATATTAATGTCAAAACTACATACACATAATAGTATAATAGTTTATTTTAAAACAACATACAGAAGTACAGCTAAAGTAAATATTAACTGATGTAAGTATACAGTGTGTTTCTATGGTAACCAGCACTTTCTCCCAGTCTAGGATGGAGATTAGTTCATAAACTTACAATTGCATAGAAATAAACGAAATACAGCATAGAAAACAAAGTCAAAGTCCAGCAGATGGACCGCTGTGGGAGTTAAAGTGCTAGTACCTCCTGAACAGTCAAAGTCCAGCAGATGGACCGCTGTGGGAGTTAAAGTGCTAGTACCTGCCGAACAGGTGCCGGGTTGGGGTTGGAGCTGACCAACAGATTAGTCAAGTTCCGGATCCGGTCTTCCTGCTCTCGCTGCAGCTGGTCTTTCTCTTGAAGTTGTGAGAGCAGCTCCTTCTCTGTGGCGGTGCTTTGAGTCACAGACGAAACCTGACGAGTCCAAAAAGCCACGTTAACAAAGTGAAAACAGCAAAATGCAGTAATGATAATGAATCTCTCGCCTCCTGAAGTCGCCGTTTGAGGTCGACGATTTCGTTGCGGTATCGTTTGAGCAGAGCGCCGTCGTCAGACACTTCGGTGACGTGGGGGTCGTTCTTCATCTTCTTGGCCGTGCTGGCAAACTGCAACACAAGAACAACTGAAGGGTTTTATCTTTACTCTTGTTAATGAGACCATTTTAATCCTGAGTGTTTTTAATTGCGATTCTGTTCTTTGTGTTTATAATATTTCGTGAGATCCAACTGTATTTTAAACATAATGTAGATTATGTTTAGGATTTATGCCTGTTGTGATATGGGCTTTGGAGGCGCTTTGTGTTGGAAAAAACGCTCGACAAATAAAAGATTTATCTATAAAAGTAAGAAACAAAAGATTTAATTATCTTTATGTATTTTTCATCAAAAAACTTAACATTTCTAAATTATAGTAGTTGCAGGACTTTACTGTTACAATGTCAAGAGAAAGTACATTTTGTCCACATTCAGGCTGCCTCATGTGTTTATGTAGCAACAGCAGCAAACTTCAGTCCTTAAAAGTAATTTAAAAGTCTTTTAAATTTAATGAATTGATTTAGCGACGAGTTTTTTTAAGAATCAGAATCTTTTTATTGCCATGTGAGAAACAGGAAGTCACAAGGTTTTATATATTAGAATATTAAGATTATTTATGTATACATTTATATATTTTTACCTTTTCATCACTTCTGCACCAAAGCAAACTCCTAGTTTGACAGTTTCTTACTTACAATCGCCTTAATAATTCTGATTCTGATTAAAAGTAATGATCACTTTAGCTGCTTACTTTAACCGTTAGCTTCCATGACTCATTCACCAATCTAATCTGGCAATAAGTATGTGTGCTATAGGTAATAAAACCTAGTCGATTAGAAGTTGGCCTCATCTGCTCATCACATAAACCACAGCTGATTGACAAAATAAAACACAGACATCGACATTGTTATACAGGTCAGAGGGTTTAAAGAAATGGTTATAGTTTGGTAATTACAGTAATCTGTCCAGTGGGAACTCTGACCTGTAAAGTGCTGAGGGTTTCATCAAAAGCAGCCGGTGTGATTGTGCAAATGATTACTGTTTTTGCATTTCCGCCCAAAGAGTTCTGGAGGATACGGGTGAGTTTACTGTCTCTGTAGCTCGTGTATCCCCTGAGAAATAAAACACATGCAAACGATGAACTCTAGATCTATAAATTAATGATTATACAGAAGCTTTGGGTCGTGGGCTCTGTAGCTGTGGGGCTGTACAATAGAATAAGACATTTCGTTGGGTGGTCTAGTGTAGACCCCTGTGGGAAGGTTTAACTGGGGAGACTGTCGCACCGTACTGCAAATGTAACCAAGAAGATGCATTTATCAGTGAATTGTAAATCATGTATTTAACGGACTTGTGACTTTCATCCGTTAGCTTCTTGATGACTTGTCCAAGAGTGAACAGACTCTTGTTGATGTTGCAGCCTTCTTTGAATCTGGCTCCTACAAAACAGAACAGAACAAAGACTGAAGCAAAGAAGTCTAAAGCAACGAAGAGGCCAGAAAACAGAACAAACCTTCAGCTCCAGTTTGACTGGCTCGTTCAGAGCCCGCAAGGTCCACGAGATTCTGAAATGAAGACGAGAATGACACATGCTCCAAACCTGCAGATCTATCGTCTGAGAAACACTCACTAAATGAGACACAATGATGGCTCCGTCTGAGTTTTCACAGTCACTCTTTTCCCGGCTTTCCAAAATCTATAAAAAAGGTAAAACAGTGAAAACGACTCAGGTTCATTATTCCAAGAGGAAAACAAACTTACCATTCGGAAGATGGTGTGAGAGCGACTGCTGCGCTCATTCATTTTGGTTTTACCATAATGTCGATTTTCTGTAAATCAGAAACAGGCTATAACTCAAACACGTTTGTTTAAAACTCATCTTTTATGGATCTTACTTTCTCCAAATCTAATCCAGTGCAAAGCTTGTGCAGTACTCGTCACCAGCTCCTCACTCAGGTCGGCCACATAGATGTTTTTCTGCACAAGTGAAACAGAAAATCCTTTCTTTAAAGGGTGACAGTGACAGTTTATTTAGAGTTTTAGTGTATAACTGAATTTCATATGATCCATAATTAAAGGAACACCCTGAAAACTGCACTTACGTTCAGTGCCTCTCTGACTTCCAAAGGCTTCCTCTTCCAACTGTCCACCAAAAGATCGCTCACAGTCTCATTATAGATTTCCATGTACGAGACTCTGAGCAGGAATTCCTTTGAGGAACACTGAAACAACAAATATTCAAATACAAATCAATCAGAACAAGGCTGTAGCAGTTTAAGGAGGCTCACAGTCTGAATGGTCTGAAAGATGTCTTCTACAGCCAATGGAATGACTCCTGGGTTTTTATCACAGCCCATCATGCTGAAGGTCTTTCCAGATGAAGTTTGTCCATAGGCAAATATCGTCCCTACAATCACAAAAGTCTTAAACTTGACGCCACACTGTGATAAACTTAAATATAAAGTACATTCTAGACGCACCATTGTATCCTTGGACAGTAGACACGACCAGAGGTTTGGCAATAGTCTGGTAAAGTTGATTTGTCGTTTCATGAGCAGTAAAAACACGATCTAAAATATATTTCAGAATCATATATTGTTATATTTATCACATTCTAAAAAGCACCATTATGGAAAGGCAAGCATAGACATAATTTAAAAACATACCAAAACTGAAACTTTTGACTGAAGCTCCGTCAATTTGATGGACAGAGTTATTGTCAGCTTTCCAATAGAGCTGTGCATTTTCAGCAGCATTCTCCTCCCTGTAGAGCACAACACGTGACTTCTGTTGTTTTCATGATACACATTCTTAAACCTCAGGTGCATTTAGTTTTCTATAACTAAAATCACAACAGACGCCTGCTGTTGTGATTTTAGAGCTTTACAAAAACGCTTGAGAGAATTCTTACTATTTTCCCACTCCATTTGGAGCTGACAAATTGTGAATATGCAGAGGTCTCCGCTAGGCCTGTCACGATAACAAATTTCGCTGGACGATTAATTGTCTCAGAAATTATTGCGATAAGCGATTATATTGTCGTTCTGAGATCATTTGCATCGATTACAATGATAATGTAGGTACACCTTTTCAAAGAGAAATAAACTTTTATTTTTAACGAATATTTAACGCTAGAACACAATAAATTAACAACCAAAAACAATACATAAAATAGACTCAGTCTCTTAACAAAAAATGACCAGGAATAAAACTGCCAGGACCTTTGTAAAGAAAATATGAAACAGATGCCTCAAATGTCAATGGGCCTCATTCACGAACGGTTCTTAGGAACAGATTTGTACGTAAATCCTACTTACGCGGTTTTTACGAAGAAAGTGGCATTCACGAATATTTCTCGTAACCAGAATTTCTCTTGGGCAAGTACAAATCCTACGAGTCCTCAGGAGCACTCGTACGCATTCAGTGCCGACATGTTCACACGCCGGGGTTGTCCTCTTTGGTGAAGTTGAATAAAAATACAACATTCCAGTGATATGTCCGTCATATCGATGTATGTATTTATTTATTTGTAGTAATCTTTATTAGTAATCTTTATTTATATACCGCCTTTTTCACTGCAGATCTGGCCTACTTTTTAATTCATTTTGAAATGAAATGTGCCAACGCTTTATCAAATACATTGGAAATCTTGCCGTGTATTAGTGACCCCTTCCTATTTATAGGGGGCATTTCTTTATCCACGGGCCACAGAACAACGGCATATATACTGCTGCTGCAGGAGGTTACTGGGTCCGCGCTGAGTCTCTGCGCTGGTCTCTCCTATGGATCTATACGGGTCTGCGCTGGTCTCTCCTATGGATCTAGACGGGTCTGCACTGGTCTCTCCCATATACGGGTCTGCACTGGTCTCTCTCCATACGGGTCCGTGCTGCATGCTCCTGGATCCATACAGGTCCGCGCTGGTCTCTCAAGTCTGGTCTATGCGGTCTCTCTTCGGTCCGCGCTGGTCTCTGCGCACCGGTCTCTCCAGTCAGGTCACTCCAGTCTATGCGGTCTCTCCTATAGGTCCGCGCTGGTTTCTGTGTGCTGGTCACTCCAGTCTCTCCTCGGGTCTGCATTGGTCTCAGCGCTGGTCCGCGCTGGATCTCCTCCAGGGTCCAAAATATTTTGAGATTAATCTCAAAACATTTTGAGATTCATCTTTAAAATAATACATAATATATTTTTAAATTAAGCTCATAACATTTTGAGATTAATCTCATCATATTCTTAGATTAATCTCATAATTTTGCTAGTTCGACTTTATTATCATAATATTTCGACTTTTAAGTCAACATTTTATAACTTTATTCTCAGTCTGGTAAAAGAAGAAAAAAGGGTTGCTTTAGGCCTGTTGCTGTTCCCTCTGCCGTCTGCACACGGCCCTGCAGTCCCTTATATGGGCATTAGTGGGCGGTTACTTATGCTAAGTACCTATGCTAATGAAGCACCTGGCACGCGCGCTGTACTTACGAGGAAATGGGATTCATCAATCTGAGAGAACAGCTGCGAACAATTCAGCGGCTTACGAGTGCGTTGATGAATCCCACGTGGGGACTTCTTAGAAATCTACTTAAGGACAACTTGAGAAGAAAGTTGAGTAGTTTCTTACGAAGTTATTCGTGAATGAGGCCCAATAATTTCTCAGACTTTATGGCAGATTACGAGAAAGAAATACCAACATGTTGACTTTGTGTGGCTTAAGACAGGATCTCTCAGGAGTAGTCCCACCTCCCCACACACCAGGCGAATGACAAGTGACTGACATGTGGGTTCACCAATGGGGCGTACAGAAGTCCTGCTGCGGTAGCGCCCACCGGAAGTAGCGGGGCGGGCTTTGATGCTAACAGCTAAGCTAGCGGGTTTTTTGTGTAAAGTTCTACTCCAAGAATGCAAGTCTGCAGCATCTCTGTGTTCAGAGACCTTCTAGAGACTTTATATAACAGCAGTATGTGTTCACGGAGGTGCGCCATAAGTTTATTTTATTGGTATGGTACGGTACTTCTGCATCGGCGAACACGCTAACGCTAGCTGCGCTAGTATAGTCACTAATCAAGCCTGAATGAGAACTCAGCTGCCGGCATATGTTCACAACTACTGTGTCCCCCATTGTCAATCCTGGTTAAGTCCTGGTTTAGGTCCTGTTTTGGCTGTATTTTGTATTTTTGAGTAATTTCCGTCTGCTTGCTAGACTGCTAGTGTTCCCGTGACCACTTTGCGGCTCTCTGACCCGAGAGAGACGGGGGAAACAAACAAGCATGCAAATGGGATTTATCGCGGCCAGAAAAGTTATTGAGCAAATTTTATTTATCGTGCGATTAATTGATTTATTGACTATCGCGACAGGCCTAGTCTCCGCTCCCACAGACTGACAGGCTGTGGACCCAGTCAGTGGCTCTTCAGTATTTTGCAGACATTGTGTATAAAAGTGTATAATATGTATGGTATGTGTGTGTATAATCGCAGACAGTCAGACAACTGGGACATCTTTTTAACCAGTTTAACCAGTGTATTTGCTTCAGTCTTTCAGAATGAATGATGCGGTATTAACATAGACTGTACATATTATTAAGCATCTGAGTATTGTGCTTCAGACAGAGCCACACTTTATTGTTTCTATCCATGTAATAAATTGTATGACCAGGGGGGGAATGTGAGATTTCATAACACTTTTAAGCAACTTTTTTTAAGGTTAAACTCATCATTCTATCAATGTGCAGAAGCCAGTACTTTTCCCTTGTTGTGTCTATCTGAAGGCCAAGCTACATGGCACCGTGGCAGCTGCTGATTGGAGGTCTCCATGCCAACGCTCTGTATAATACACTTGCATTCTGTTGTATCTGTGATCGTGTGCTTTGTTCGTGCTGTCTCTACCATCGACAATAAAACATGTCTTCTGTCTGAATTAAAGACGCGATCCCAGACTATGTCATCTTCAGGTGGTGGAAGGATGCGGGCCTTGTCTGTAACATCTAGAGAACCGAAGACTACTTTTTTTTTACACAAAAAGTGTTTATTTTAAGCCAAAACTGAGAAACCTCAAGAGAATGCATCTGGATCAGCACATGGACTATCTGCACAGCCCCGGATTCCAGTCAGGCTGTGAGCTGCTGAGACATGGACAATACCATCGTCCTCTTTTGCATGGACATCATTTGGAACAATTGGATTAAACAATTTGGACATAATTTGGACTGAATTGGATTTCTGAATCTGGACACTAAAGCTGAAACGTGTGATTGAAAGACACGTCACAGAAGAATTCATGGCTCGACACAAATGCAGCCTGAAGAATCCAACACGGAGAAGTGGGAGAGACTGTTTTCAAAGCAATATCTGGAACCACCATCGATTGATGAAGTTTGGTATTTTACTAAAGATTGTTGACAAGTTTTATGAAAGATCTGAACATGTTTTATGAGTGAGTTTTTTGAAGTATTCCGAGTACTGAGTGAAGTACCGAGTTTATGAGTTTTTGAAGTATTGAGTTATGATGTTATGTTGCTGTTTATCGATCCTGATGGTCACACGTGAATGTATGACCAGGGAGGGAATGTGAGATTTCATAACACTTTTAAGCAACTTTTTTTAAGGTTAAACTCATCATTCTATCAATGTGCAGAAGCCAGTACTTTTCCCTTGTTTTGTCTATCTGAAGGCCAAGGTACATGGCACCGTGGCAGCTGCTGATTGGAGGTCTCCATGCCAACGCTCTGTATAATACACTTGCATTCTATTGTTTCTGTGATCGTGTGCTGTGATCGTGCTGTCTCTACCATCGACAATAAAACATGTCTTCTGTCTGAATTAAAGACGCGATCCCAGACTATGTCATCTTCTTCAGGTGGTGGAGAATGCGGGCATTGTCTGTAACATCTAGAGAACATGTTTTATGAGTTTTATGAGTTTTTGATGTATTCCGAGTTCTGAGTTTTTTGAGGTACCGAGTGAAGTACCGAGTTTATGAGTTTTTGAAGTATTGAGATATGATGTTATGTTGCTGTTTATCGATCCTGATGGTCACAGGTGAATGTGTGCCCAGAGGGGGGAATGTGAGATTTCATAACACTTTGAAGCAACTTTTGTTAAAGTTAAACTCATCATTCTATCAATGTGCAGAAGCCAGTACTTTTCCCTTGTTTTGTCTATCTGAAGGCCAAGGTACATGGCACCGTGGCAGCTGCTGATTGGAGGTCTCCATGCCAACGCTCTGTATAATACACTTGCATTCTGTTGTATCTGTGATCGTGTGCTTTGTTCGTGCTGTCTCTACCATCGACAATAAAACATGTCTTCTGTCTGAATTTAAGACGCGATCCCAGACTATGTCATCTTCTTCAGGTGGTGGAAGGATGCGGGCCTTGTCTGTAACATCTAGAGAACCGAAGACTACTTTTTTTTTACACAAAAAGTGTTTATTTTAAGCCAAAACTGAGAAACCTCAAGAGAATGCATCTGGATCAGCACATGGACTATCTGCACAGCCCCGGATTCCAGTCAGGCTGTGAGCTGCTGAGACATGGACAATACCATCGTCCTCTTTTGCATGGACATCATTTGGAACAATTGGATTTCTGAATTTGGACATAATTTGGAAAAATTGGATTTCTGAATTTGGACATAATTTGGACTGAATTGGATTTCTGAATCTGGACACTAAAGCTGAAACGTGTGATTGAAAGACACGTCACAGAAGAATTCATGGCTCGACACAAATGCAGCCTGAAGAATCCAACACGGAGAAGTGGGAGAGACTGTTTTCAAAGCAATATCTGGAACCACCATCGATTGATGAAGTTTGGTATTTTACTAAAGATTGTTGACAAGTTTTATGAAAGATCTGAACATGTTTTATGAGTGAGTTTTTTGAAGTATTCCGAGTACCGAGTGAAGTACCGAGTTTATGAGTTTTTGAAGTATTGAGTTATGATGTTATGTTGCTGTTTATCGATCCTGATGGTCACACGTGAATGTATGACCAGGGAGGGAATGTGAGATTTCATAACACTTTTAAGCAACTTTTGTTAAAGTTAAACTCATCATTCTATCAATGTGCAGAAGCCTGTACCTTTCCCTTGTTGTGTCTATCTGAAGGCCAAGGTACATGGCACTGTGGAAGCTGCTGATTGGAGGTCTCCATGCCAACGCTCTGTATAATACACTTGCATTCTATTGTTTCTGTGATCGTGTGCTGTGTTCGTGCTGTCTCTACCATCGACAATAAAACATGTCTTCTGTCTGAATTTAAGACGCGATCCCAGACTATGTCATCTTCTTCAAAATGATAATCAAGTAAGGGCTATAACTGGGTGATTCTCTCACTGGGGCATTTTTTGTCCCAGAAGTTTAGGGTTTAATATATACGGTCTATGGGTTTAACACGAAGATCTAAAAATAAAGTTACCAATAACGTGCATTTTAAGCTAGGTGTTCACATTTGTATAGATATTTTAGAGTATCAGATGGCACACAAAAATGTCCCGTGTTGTTTAAGATTTTCATTCCATCTTAAACGTATATACATTGCCTTCAACCCCATTTCTGCTAATATAATCATTTACCCGTCTACTAAAATAAAATAAAAATGTTTTTTTATGAAATTGTACTTTGTAATTTGTACAACTTTTTGTGTGAGATTGAGATCGTCATGTTCAACTAAAGGTAGTTTATGGTAATATTTCAAAATTCAGAACCCAAAAGGCCCCCGTTACAGAGAATCACCCATAGTTGGCTAACAACAGAGTTAGCCAACCCAAACTGAGCCAACCCGAACCAAGCAAGAACGTTAACGCTTTACCTCTCAGCCAGTGGCCGGACCCTGACACAGACTTTAACAGCCGAGTCTTCTGTCATGATGACCAGAACCTTCTAGCGCCGGGTCGGAACCTAAGCTAAAACACTAAATAAAATAGTCCCGTTTGGCTTGACTCATAACCGTAAGGCCCGGGTTGGCGGGTTAACAGTTTAAATACTAATTTAGAATCGTCTCATTGGTCAACTGCAACTGAGGAAGCAACGTTTCTTCTCGCGAGAAGATCAGCTTTCCAAAATGGATTCCTACTCACTTGCTTTCCCTCCTTACTTCCCCAAACTGCCTAACTGCTCTCTTAGCACTCCTCACGGAATCTTTTAAACTCTTTAGAAATACTTGACTATTAAATTCGTCCGTGCATTTGGATGTAAATGGACAATTGAGAAAAAAGAGCTTGTACCTAGGGGCTGTAATGGACAATCTGTATTTAACCACAGTTATCCGAGAGGTGGCGGTATTGTGCCGAAAGTAGTTTGCTAGTCAGAAAACACATGAAGAAGAAGAAGCAACATGGCGGTGCTGCTTGAAACCACTTTGGGAGATATTGTTATTGATTTGTTTACAGAGGAGAGACCTAAAGGTATCGCTTGTTTTGCATGCGTTACTCTTCTAATGTGTTTAGCTTTTTTATCTTAATAATGTTCACCTAAAGCAAATGAGAAGATTGACATTAGCTGGCTAACGCTAGCTGTTGTTTAGTTTCACTGTTGTCAGACACAAGTGAGTCTCACGTGGATTTATTTGAGAAGGTTGTTCTCACATAATAATAAAGCGTTACTCTATCTTATGTTTGTGTGACGAATGGTGAGCTCTAATTATTCATTCATTCATTTCCATCCCCTTTATTAGTCCATTTCTGGGTGGCACCCAATTCTCATAGCACCACACTCACTAACCCCACTGCAAAGTGTCTTGCCCAAGGACACCATGACAGCAGACGTCAGTGGGAGTAGGGCTGTAATTACAATATTGGTAATTGTTCACGACCTAAATAAAAATACCAGTTTTGGGTTGCTTCATGTACAATATGAAGTTTGGTATAGTAATGATTTAAAACTGCTGTTGAACCTTGTGACTTGATTGTGAACCGGTATAACCTCTATAAATCTGTTTTACAGCATCTTTAAACTTCATTAAATTATGCAAGATTAAATACTACAATTACTGCCTCATCCACAATGTCCAGGTTTGTGAGATGCTCTTTTAATCCAATACATACGATGGCTATTGTGCATGTATGTTTGTTTTATAATAATATTTACTTGTTAATACATAGAGAGACTTCATTGTTCAAACTGGAGACCCCACAGGGACAGGCCGCGGGGGCGAGTCAGTTTACAGGTAAGGTTTGAATATGTTTGTACTTTCAAAGGTTTGTTATGTAGTGCTATGTGCTATGTCTGTTTGATACTCTGCTCTCCTCTCGTCTCTTCAGCAAGCTCTATGGAGACCAGGCACGGTTTTTTGATGCAGAGAAGACGCCGAGAATCAAGCACAAGAAAAAGGGCACGGTCTCAATGGTGAACAATGGGAGTGGGCAACATGGTTCACAGGTAATGGTGCCAATATCACAAATATAGGTCACAAGCTGCTTAGAAACCTTATTTAGAAGCTTGTTTTGGGCTGATGTGTCTGTGGGCAGTTTCTAATCACAGCTGGGGAGAACCTCGACTATCTGGATGGAGTCCACACCGTGTTTGGGGAGGTCACTGAGGGATTCGATGTGTTGGCCAAGATTAACGAGACATTTGTGGATAAAGATTTTGTGCCATTTCAGGATATAAGGTGAGCTTCCTTTCATTAAAATAAAACAAGCTAATATTAGATTTTTCTCATGTAAACATTCGGTGACTTGCAGAATAAACCACACCGTGATCCTCGATGATCCTTTTGACGATCCCGCTGACCTGCCGGTGCCGGATCGTTCTCCAGAGCCAACCAGAGAGCAGTTGGACGTCAGTATGCTTTTCACCTACAGAGCACAAGGGTCAAATATGCAAAATGTCCACAAAAATCAACTTCTCAGTATCTATTGTGTGTGTGACTCTGCTTCAAGGTTCAGTTTTTTTACCATTTGCAATAAAACCACATTGGACTAAGTGTGCAAGACTACAGTGGGCCCCAGACAGAGCAGATAGTCAGAGCAGCAGCAGTACACAAAGCACACAAGACTGTAAAGAATCCAGTTCTGCTTGATTCACACATTCATCAGAGGAACCTGGTCAGACTGGTCACATCCAGCAACAACTGGGGATCTGAGATACATCTGTCTCCTCTAAACATGTCATGTATCAAGCAGAACTAGCTTCTTTACTCTTTCTTATTAGTAGAACCTTCTTTGTTATGAAACATAACTTGTAATATTGTTATTACAAAATATCAGTTTGTTCTTGATGCATATGTATGAACTGTGCATTGCATGTTTGATATCGAACTGACTATAAATTCATTCTGAGCCTTGAACATGAAGAACACAAAATTCTCTCTTTTCCTTGAACGTGTCTCTGCAGTGTGTAGCTCTGATGAGAAGTCTGTGAAACCATTTCACATCTGTGCTCTGTATTTAAGCAAACAAACACAAACCAACTGGATAAACAGATTCTTCTGTGTACAGAGTGGACGGATCGGAGCAGATGAAGTGATCGACGAGGAAGACGGTAAAGCAGCGGAGGAGTTGGAAGAGAGACTGAAGGATAAGGAAGCAAAGACTCAGGCCATTCTTCTGGAGATGGTGAGAGTTTGTTTCTTTTGTAGATTCCGCTGCTGCTTCTCTGACCACTGCTGTCGCTGCAGGTGGGAGACCTCCCAGACGCAGATATTAAGCCTCCTGAGAACGTGCTGTTTGTTTGTAAACTAAATCCAGTCACCACTGATGAGGACTTGGAAATTATCTTCTCCCGCTTTGGCACCATCAAGAGGTTTGTTGTTTTTTTATTTGCCTGTTGATTCAGTGGTTCTCAAACCTGGAGCATGTGTCATAGTCCCCATGAAACACATGTCTAAAGGTTCTCGGTGGGGCCATCTAAAGGTTGTGCCTGGATACCATGGGATTACAGTGGTCCCTTAATTATCCCTCGGTTACTTTCTGAAAATAAGCAACATCCGTGAAGTAGCAGCTGTTTGTTTGAAGGCTGTAAAAACCCAAACACACACTTTCTAACTTTCTAACTCCTGAACTCACCACTGCTCAAGTACAAGCGGAGATATTAAACATGTTGGTTGTAGATCTGAGGAGCAGGAGAGGGAGACTGGAGAGAGGGAGACTGGGGAGAGGGAGACTGGAGAGAGGGAGACTGGGGAGAGGGAGACTGGGGAGAGGGAGACTGGGGAGAGGGAGACTGGGGAGAGGGAGACTGGGGAGAGAGGGAGACTGAAGAGAGGGAGACTGGGGAGAGGGAGACTGGGGAGAGGGAGACTGGGGAGAGGGAGACTGGAGAGAGGGAGACTGGGGAGAGGGAGACTGAAGAGAGGGAGACTGGGGAGAGGGAGACTGGGGAGAGGGAGACTGGGGAGAGGGAGACTGGGGAGAGGGAGACTGGGGAGAGGGAGACTGGGGAGGGGGAGACTGGAGAGAGAGGGAGACTGAAGAGAGGGAGACTGAAGAGAGGGAGACTGGGGAGAGGGAGACTGAAGAGAGGGAGACTGGGGAGAGGGAGACTGGGGAGAGGGAGACTGGGGAGAGGGAGACTGAAGAGAGGGAGACTGAAGAGAGGGAGACTGGGGAGAGGGAGACTGGAGAGAGAGGGAGACTGAAGAGAGGGAGACTGGGGAGAGGGAGACTGAAGAGAGGGAGACTGAAGAGAGGGAGACTGGGGAGGGGAGACTGGGGAGAGGGAGACTGGGGAGAGGGAGACTGAAGAGAGGGAGACTGGGGAGAGGGAGACTGAAGAGAGGGAGACTGGGGAGAGGGAGACTGAAGAGAGGGAGACTGGGGAGAGGGGAGACTGAAGAGAGGGAGACTGGGGAGAGGGAGACTGAAGAGAGGGAGACTGGGGAGAGGGAGACTGAAGAGAGGGAGACTGGGGAGAGGGAGACTGGGGAGAGGGAGACTGAAGAGAGGGAGACTGGGGAGAGGGAGACTGAAGAGAGGGAGACTGGGGAGAGGGAGACTGGGGAGAGGGAGACTGAAGAGAGGGAGACTGGGGAGAGGGAGACTGGGGAGAGGGAGACTGAAGAGAGGGAGACTGGGGAGGGGGAGACTGGAGAGAGAGGGAGACTGAAGAGAGGGAGACTGGGGAGAGGGAGACTGAAGAGAGGGAGACTGGGGAGAGGGAGACTGGGGAGAGGGAGACTGATGAGAGAGGGAGACTGAAGAGAGAGGGAGACTGGGGAGAGAGGGAGACTGGGGAGAGGGAGACTGGAGAGAGAGGGAGACTAGGGCCTCTCTCTGAGAGACCAGAGAGAGACCAGAGAGAGACCAGAGAGAGACCAGAGAGAGACCAGAGAGAGACCAGAGAGAGACCAGAGAGAGGCCAGAGAGAGGCCAGAGAGAGGCCAGAGAGAGGCCAGAGAGAGACCAGAGAGAGACCAGAGAGAGGCCAGAGAGACCAGAGAGAGACCAGAGAGAGACCAGAGAGAGACCAAAGAGAGGCCAGAGAGAGGCCAGAGAGAGAGACCATAGAGAGACCAGAGAGAGACCAGAGAGAGACCAGAGAGAGACCAAAGAGAGGCCAGAGAGAGAGACCAGAGAGAGACCAGAGAGAGAGACCAGAGAGAGAGACCAGAGAGAGAGACCAGAGAGAGAGACCAGAGAGAGAGGCCAGAGAGAGAGGCCAGAGAGAGAGGCCAGAGAGAGACCAGAGAGAGACCAGAGAGAGACCAGAGAGAGACCAGAGAGAGACCAGAGAGAGACCAAAGAGAGGCCAGAGAGAGAGACCATAGAGAGACCAGAGAGAGACCAGAGAGAGACCAGAGAGAGACCAGAGAGAGACCAGAGAGAGACCAAAGAGAGGCCAGAGAGAGAGACCATAGAGAGACCAGAGAGAGACCAGAGAGAGAGACCAGAGAGAGAGACCAGAGAGAGAGACCAGAGAGAGAGACCAGAGAGAGAGGCCAGAGAGAGAGGCCAGAGAGAGAGGCCAGAGAGAGAGGCCAGAGAGAGAGACCAGAGAGAGACCAGAGAGAGACCAGAGAGAGAGCCAGAGAGAGAGGCCAGAGAGAGAGGCCAGAGAGAGAGGCCAGAGAGAGAGGCCAGAGAGAGAGGCCAGAGAGAGACCAGAGAGAGACCAGAGAGAGACCAGAGAGAGACCAGAGAGAGACCAGAGAGAGACCAGAGAGAGACCAGAGAGAGACCAGAGAGAGAGGCCAGAGAGAGAGGCCAGAGAGAGAGGCCAGAGAGAGAGGCCAGAGAGAGAGGCCAGAGAGAGAGGCCAGAGAGAGACCAGAGAGAGAGACCAGAGAGAGAGACCAGAGAGAGAGGCCAGAGAGAGAGGCCAGAGAGAGAGGCCAGAGAGAGACCAGAGAGAGACCAGAGAGAGAGGCCAGAGAGAGAGGCCAGAGAGAGAGGCCAGAGAGAGAGGCCAGAGAGAGACCAGAGAGAGAGGCCAGAGAGAGAGGCCAGAGAGAGACCAGAGAGGGACCAGAGAGAGAGGCCAGAGAGAGAGGCCAGAGAGAGACCAGAGAGAGACCAGAGAGAGAGGCCAGAGAGAGAGGCCAGAGAGAGAGGCCAGAGAGAGAGGCCAGAGAGAGAGGCCAGAGAGAGAGGCCAGAGAGAGAGGCCAGAGAGAGAGGCCAGAGAGAGAGGCCAGAGAGAGACCAGAGAGAGACCAGAGAGAGAGGCCAGAGAGAGAGGCCAGAGAGAGACCAGAGAGGGACCAGAGAGAGGGACCAGAGAGAGAGGCCAGAGAGAGAGGCCAGAGAGAGAACGCCTGTATTTGGCATCGTCTGGTACTCCCGGTTCTGTGCAGTGTTTTATCTCCATATATGCGTTGAGGTATTACAAGCGTGTGTAGGCCTGTCACGTATTTTTTTTTGACCGGCCATAAAGTTCTTCTTAAATTAACTCGATAAACTATAATGTATTTTCACGGCGTTTTTTTATTGCAAAATTAAAAAATACAGTAAATCAATTGTATAATAACCAGAAAAAGAACATTATTGGAGTTGCTAAACAGGAACAATATTAAAGTGCTTAATAAAAAATATATAAACAGAAATTGCTTTGATGGTATCAAAAAACAAGAACATGTTAAGTGCTTTTTTTTTTTTCAAATTAACAAACTGTATTGAGGTAGCACAACAGAAAATTTTATAAGTGTCTTAAAGAAATCAAATGTTTACCAGCCACCAGACATGCGTGCCTTCCTAAGAAATTATGAATTCAATAACAATATTTTCACTTGACAAGGTATTAAACGTATATCTGCCTTGTTCAGAATAATTGTTTTAGCAATTGCGAGCGAGGAAAACAAACTTGTATCTTGTGGGGTTAATAAGGCTAGATCACCTCTCTAGGGGTCTCTATGTTCCCTGCTGAGAGTGTCCTTAAACAACATAGTTAAATCGTTGTGGTTTAAGACCTCTCAGGGGTCACTATGTTTCATTGCTGTGAGGTCCTTTAACCAAACATGTTAACCTTGTGTGGTTTAAGGACCATCTCAGGGGTCTCTTTGTTTCCCTGGCTCTGAGAGGTCCTTAAACAAATTGTTAAACCTGTGTGGTTTAAGGGACATCTCAGGGGTCTCTATGTTCCCTGCTGAGAGGTCTTAAACCTACATGTTAAACATTGTGTGGTTTAAGGACTCTCAGGGTCTCTATGTTCCCTGACTGACGATGTCCTTAAACACTACTTGTTATCCTTGTGTGGTTTAAGGACTCTCAGGGGTCTCTATGTTCCCTGCTGAGAGGTCCTTAAACCTAACATGTTTACCTTGTGTGGTTTAAGGACTCTACAGGGGTTCTTTGTTCCCTGCTGTGAGGTCCTTAAACCATAACTTGTTAACCTTGTGTGGTTTAAAGACCTTCAGGGGTCTCTTTGTTCCCTTGCTGTGATGAACATTCGTTCTGAACTCGTGCTTTGTGGCACTATGCACAAGTTATTTTTTTGGAGTTAAGGAAACCTTTTTTGGTTATCACGCCACCAAACCCAGGGATCCAGATGATGCATCTAGTGCTTCTTCCCTGCAGATATTTGTTAGTTCCTGGTTTGCTTGTTCTCTCACTGGTACAGCCTTGCATGTGTTTGTGTCACTCGTTGAACTCTCCTGATTGTTGGAGATCACTCAATGTTTTTCTTTTAGACTACCTGAAGGCCCTCTCCAACGGCCCTCCTCCCCCCCCCCCACCCCATTGTTCAGCCACTATGCTGTCTCCTCTCTGCAGCTGCATCTTATGTATCCCGCTTTTTGCATCTCCTCCTCCATACTCCCTAGCAGCTCTCAACAGCTCTTCCTTGGTGTCCTGGCAAATACTCTAATATCCTCCCAAACTGCCTTGTGTCTGGATACACATTGGTTGCATTTCTTAGAAGACTTTGTATATTTTGGAGATCAGTATTTATCATACCAACACCGTGCTCGTGTTGGTCTTGATCTTTGTTGTGAGGTCAGTGTTCTCATGGACTGGTGCTAAACAGTTCACCTTTGTGAGCTCCAGCTATGGCTTTATTGAGGACACTGTGACATCTTCTCACCAGAAAGTATGTCAGTGAAGGTCAGCATCAAGGCCTGCTAAGGCTGCATTTATTGACTCTCAGCACCAGACACATCTTGCCATGTTGGGTGAGGTGGCAATGTTTCTTTCCTCCACTAGGATTCTTATATAGCTGGCAGGCTGCTCCAAGTATCTGGTCTATCATCCTTTTGTTTAATTGCCCCATCATGGTGCCAATCTGTAAGGACAGAAAGCATGTTGTACATCCAATTATATGTAGTAATGAATTTGATCTATTTATCTTAAGGAAGTTCTGTTGTTATATAATGGAGGTTGACTGTATACTTTTTATGAGCTGTAAATTAGACAAATGTAATATTTAGTTTTATAGTATTTCAATTTAAAACATTGTGTTTCAAATGTTAATATAAATTGCCATTATAAAACTTACTCACCAGTCCAAGTGTGTGCTGAGGGAGGCCGCTTCAGTCTGTGCCTTCATGAGACGGACACGGTGGCCTGAGTGGTTGCACATCTCGCCTCTCTGCAGAAGGTCCTGGGGTTCGAATCCCTGTCGGACCAGGCCTTTCTGAGTGGAGTTTGACTTGTTCTCCCCGTGTATGGTGTTTCCTCCGGTATCCGGTTTCCCCTACCACTAAAATATGTCCAATTGTTCTGGTATGTGCCTCCTGTACTGGCCCCTCCCCATCCTCTGTGTGAGTGAGAGACTTGCCAAATAAAACTTAACAATTTGTAACCGCTTTGAGACTCATGATCTGCAGTGAAAAGGCGGTATATATATAAAGATTACTTAAATGAGATCCCTCCATCTTTATCCAGCTCACGTTGAGATGGTCACAAGATTCCTTCAGAGTCCACACGCACGCGGAGTGCGTTTTTTTCTGCGTTATGGCATTTGTGTTAGCCCAAATGCGTTGTGGCACAAAACAATTGAGCCACGGCAGCCAAGATTGCTGTATTGCTGCCACAATATTAGCCACCAGTGTTCAGTAGTAATGACGGTGTTTCTTCCTGCAGTCCCCATTCATCAGTTCCCCCCCAACCCCCACCCCCCCCCCATGCATTTAATGTTTTCAGCCAGGACTGCAGCAAGTGTGGTTCTCAGGCACATAATCTAGTTTCTAAACATTTCGAGTGCTTAAGACCCATTACCTCGTATGTAATGCACTGTGAGGCTCATATTTTGGGGTCATGTTAGAGCTGGTCCACATATCTGTCTGTTGCGGAGAAGAATGTACTGTTTTATGTCATTCAGAACACCCCTTTTGACTTTGTTTACAACGCAGGTATTGGCAGTTTCGTACATGTACGTCTTTTTTGGTAACTAGTATTGTTTTTCAATGTCCCGCGATGTCTCTAAACGAGGGTGTATCCACACAGTGTTAAATGGCAACATCTCTTTAGCGATGTTGTGTGTTACGTCTGTTTGTGAGGTGACGCCATTTTACGCTATCACGTTTATTCTTTTGTCACTGGGCCAAACCTAATCTTTACGATAGGCTGTCTAATCGAGATGTCATCTGCCGTTCAATAGCTGCCTTTTCTCCAGCTGTGTCATACACACTTGGGTGGTTATGCTTCAGATGCGTTTGAGGTTTGTGGTGTTTCAGTCTTTGTTTGCTGACAACTTTTTTGCATAAACGACGAACTTACCGGCTGATTCAGATTGCTGGGCTCCCACGTTCGTTCGGCTTGTAGCGAAATGTTCCCATACTGCGGCTGTTGATTCGGGCTTCTTGATCACTGTGGCTTGTTTCGCCGCCATTTGATTTGAACTGACGTTTCCATTGCACTGCCTTCTAGCACGCACGGGTGGTACTAGAGTTTACGTCCACTTCCGGCTCTTTGTCCAGCTAGCTCCTCGCGCTTTGGCTTGGGCGATGACGTAAGGAGTGATAAGCTGGCGACTCGCAAATGCGCTGCGCACATTTATCGAGTCTCAAACGTTATTGTGATGTTTATATTTATCGTATAACGATTAATGAAATAGTAATTATCGTGACAGGCTACGTTGGCCGGAGTTGCCATTGCTGGAGGCTGTGGAGCCACTTACTTTCATCTACCTCTTGGAGATACGGACGACGGTTTCGTCCAAACAGGTCGTTTCTTATCCGTCTCGTTATTCAATGAGGGTGAATGGATGTGGCCTCTCACTGCACTCCACATCGGATTCCATCAACGGAGGGTGCTAAGGAACGCGGACGGACGAAATAGAAACAATCCTTTTGTGGTCCGTCGACGCGTGTTGGGGTCCGTTTTCCATTTGGACAATACAATGAATAATACTTTATTTTAATATATTTACAACATATTAAACATGTATTGTTATATGCTGTAGTCATGTTATATAGTGTTTGTTAATAGTCAATGATTATTATACAATCGGGTAATTTTGTTCATGTATTAATTTAAATAATTGTTCTGATCGTACATCTACCATTTTTCTTTAGCAGTAATGTTAATCATTTACGACACTCGCTATTTTTTCTCTTGCTCTGTCCCTTGGTACACTTGCTCTCGTCCCCGTGGTCCTACTTGATCTCGTCCTTGGACCAACTTGCTGTGTTCCCTTGGACACTTGGCTCTGTCCCCTGGACAATTGCTGTGGTCCCCCTTGAGACACTTGCTCTGTCCCCTTGGACACTTGCTCTGTCCCTTGGTACACTTGCTCTGTCCTTGGACACTTGCTGTTGTCCTTGGACACGTGCTGTGTCACCTTGGACACTTGCTCTGTCCCCCTTGGACTCTTAGCTGTGTCCATTGCTCTCTCTCACCGCTGTGCGCTCCCATCACACACTATCAAACACACATTTACCCACTGAGCATAATTGACCACTTATGAGAGACAGATCTCCACACTGGTTATGTTGGAGTTTCTTTTCTCTCTCCCATTTTCCATTGCTTTCTATTAAGTGTCAGGACCACTAGTCACGTTACGGACGTGGACAGGACAGCAGCCAACGCGCGTCTACGGAGACGGCCCGTGGAGTCTAGACCTCACCGTGCCATACCTCCAAAAGGCACACGTCACTGTAGTGGAGATAGAGCGTACAGAAAGGGTTTCAGATCCTTCTCTGTAATCCCGAGAAAGGCTCCTCTGACTGATATGATAGGCTGTTGGATGTTACCATCTGTTTTCATTAAATGGGTCAGACAATAGTTCTAGCACAGTTCATTTGTTAATCTTTATGTGTTTTCTTCTCAGTTCAGAGGGTTATTCTTGCTTAAAGAGAGCCATTAATTGGCTTCGGTTTCACATTGTTTCGTGTTATTGGGCTAATTGTTATAAACAACTGTTAAAAATATTTACATTTCTAATGATGTACATGTTAAAGTTGTATTGCTTATTGCTATAATTTCTCAATTTATTTTTTGTAACAATTGCAAGGGCCTTCTTGTCTTTTGTTGTTGGGGTTTTGGGGCTATTCTATAAATATCTTAAATATACCTTTTTATGACTGGACAGTTTTGTATTTATCACTAAATTTGCATAGACTGCTGACATAAAAAAATGTGTTTATTGAAAGTAGCTTCTATATAAGCCAAACTACTTTTGGACGAATTTTGTAAACTTTGCTTGCTGCTTTTTTATGGGTCGGTAGTTCTGTAAAGTGAAGCTGTAATTCTATTGAAGAGTAGCTAGATAACTGATAATAAAGTGCTTGCCATCATGGTAGTTTATGTAGTCACATGTGAGTGCTAGCTGCTAACAGGGACTGCGAGGCGTTTTTGGTGTGGATATGGAGAGACCATGAGGATTTTGTGTTTTCTTTTCTTTTATTCAGTATGGCAAACGCATTTCTTGTTATTATTAGCGGGTAATTATGCTACTTTGTGTATTCTTGTGTTCTCTTTTGGTCTTGTACTGTATATGCACTGTGTTAGGATGGGTTCAGTCTCGCGCCTAGCGTTGGAGGTGGGGACTGCGAGCGTGTGATAGGGAGAGACCAGTGGGATTTGTTTTTTATGTTTTTTTTTACAGAACTTGCAGTATAAAGTCATCAGTGATCCTAATTGTGTTCGTCGTGGTGCTTAATCAGCCAGCGCAACCCTATGTCAAGACTGTATCAATTTCCCTATTTTGTTTCTATAAGCTCATTGTATGACGTCCTAGGTCATTATCTGTCATAGCACATGAACAGACCCAGGACTGAGGCGTAGACCCAGGATGAGGACTGTAGACCAGGAATTAGGTGCAGACCAGTGACTGAGGCTGCAGACCCAGGACTGAGGCTGTAGATCACAGGATGAGCTGTAGACCAGGACTGAGGCTGGAGACCCAGGACTGAGGCGTAGAACCCAGGAATGAGGCTGTTGAACCAGGACTGTGGGCTGTAGGACCCAGGGAAAGAGGATGCAGAACCTGGATATGAAGGCTTGGCTGAAGACCCAAGGACTGAGGCTGCAGACCCAGGACTGAGGCTGTAGACCCAGGATGACGGCTATAGACCCTGGACTGAGGCTGTTGACCAAGGATGAGGTTGTAAGAAGTGGCTCCTATTCGGGTGGGGGTGTTAGCCCATGGGTCGGGAGAAACCAGCTTTAATTGCAGATCGTTGTTGATGTTGAAAGTGATCAATATCATTTCTCACTTCTACACCATCATACATATTGAATTATTCTGACGTTGTAGTGTTTGTTGACAGATCTACATAGTCCATTACAGAATGGGGTTCACCTGTGATCTGTGGGAAAGACCTGCAGCTCTGCTTCGCTCTAAGAGACACCAAGAACTCACACTGGAGGAAAACCATTACGAGTGTGATCTGTGCTGGAACATGTTTTACTACAAAACAAATCTCTAGGTCCACAACAGAATCCACACTGGAGAAAAAAACCTTCAGCTGCAACGATTGTGATCAGAGTTTAGACTAGAGGGTACTCTCATAAGGTCCATCAGTGGATTACAACACAGAGAGAATCATTTGAGTGTGACAGTGTAGATAAAACATTTGAGGACTCCATATTCAGGCTGCTCTACTACTCAGCATGTCCACAACAGGAAGAGAGACCTCACCAATGTGTACAGTGTGAAGACTTTTACATGTTTATCCATAACCTCACTGTCCCACCTTCAGAATCCACACTGGAGATAAACCATTCGTCTGTGGAGACTGTGCGGAAGACGTTTATTAAGGCTTCACACACTACAATGCACATGAGAGAATCCCAATGGAGAGAAATCCCTTCAGCTGCGACGATGGTGTCAGAGTTTTTCTCGGGAGTGTCATTCAAAGTGCATCAGAGATTCTCATGAGAAAAGCCTTTTGCATGTGATCTACGCTGTGCTAACTTTTAAGACAGCAACAGAGCGCACACGTTCACCATCGGAGCCCACTGGAGAGAAGCGTCGAGTGTGACCAGTGTGAAAACATGTTTAACGGTAAGAGGAAATCTTAACCAGCACAAATAGAATCCACACTGGATGAGAAACCCTTAGCTGCGTCGTTGTGGTCAGAGTTTTTCTATTGTGTGGTCATCTCAAAGTGCATCAGAGGATCACAATGGAGAGAAACCTATTTGTCTGTGAAAAGTGCGAACAGTACTTTTACTAATGGTTTCATCTCTTACTTAAACACATTAAAACTGTATGAGAAGCGGGTCTGAAGCATATGGACCAATGAAGCAGACAGAGTGATGGCTGCATCCTGTGAATCCCAGAGTCAGGGAATCTACAGGGTACTCATTCAGTCTTACTCCTGGTTTGGGAAAGATCAATTCTGTTCAGGGTTGCATTTTATGTTGTCTTTTCCTGTTCTTAAGGCGCGTTCAGACAAAAGCTTCAAAAAGCTTTTGACGCGCTTCAACTGACGCCGGGATAGTTTTGTCCCTTTTGGTGCTTGAGCTTTTGACGCGAGTGACGAGCTTGTCGCCGGTGGGAGGAGCTCTATGTTGCCTGTAGTCTGGACTGCGGTGGATTTTTCAATAGAGCAGCGAGCTTTATTTGTTATATAAGCAAAGATATACGTTGTTGTAGGGGCTATCACAACAATGCTTCTGGGTTCACCACAGTCTTGAGAGGCTGCAGTGTTTTGCAAGAGTTCCGCATGTACTACCAGGGAGCTGCGTACGGTGGATGTTTCGCTTTCAGCCATGGTACTTCCGACATTCAACTAGACACAGTCTGAGTTATCATAACACGGAGCTCGCCTCTCACAGCCTCTCCCTGCTCTTCCCCGGCTCTCTCTCGCCCATCTCAGCTGCCTCTCCCGGGCTCTCGCCCGCGGAGCTGCCTGGCTTCTGAGCCAGGACTCATCGTCAGCTGTTCTTATTTTAAATAAATCTAAGTTTACTACACAGCATGTGTACATTTGATTTTGTTATCAGAATGTTTACTACTCATACAAATAATTAGTAGATAATTATACATTAATGACAAGAAACGCAGCTGCATGACTTCTCTTCTGACAGAGTCTGGACCTATGCTGCTGCTGCTCCTCGTCTTCATGATTGGTTTGATAAGCCCAAGGGGGGCCGTTGTCAATGCGTATAATGCTCATGCTGTGATCGCTTCGGCGTCAAGGGATTGTTTTGATTCACACGCGAGCGTTTTTTCGCGCGGCAATTGTCTCAAGTGGCGCGTTAGTACGCGCGACTCTTGAAGCTTTTGACGCGCGTCAAGTGAAGCCTGCCGGCTCTCGGCTTCACCTGACGCGCTTACACCATTCACTATCATGGAAAACCGACGCTTTTGACGCCGAACAGTGTGCAAAGATGAGTCTTTTGATAGGGCTTTGACGCGGGCTCTAATACCAATCAGGAGTCGACGGAGCCAGCTGCAGCAGCAGAGGGTCTGTCTCTGTCATGAAGAGATAAGTACATGCTGCTGCTGTTTTATTGTATTTATTGTTATGAGTTAATATTATTTGTTATGGTAGTAAACATTCTGGAGTAACAACATCATTGTACACATGCTGTGTAGTAAACGTAGTTTATTTAAAATAAGAAAACAGGCTTGACGATGAGTCTGCTATCGAGCATGGCAGTTCTCCGGGCGGGCGTGCAGCCGGGGAGAGGCAGGTGTGAGGGGTGGAGAGAGCCGTGGGAGCAGTCAGGGAGACGGCGGGGAGAGGCGAGCTCCGGGGGTTTGTGAAATCAGAATGTGGCGAGTGACATGCGGAGAAGTACCGCTGAAAGCGAAACTCCTCCGTACGCAGCTCATGGAGTAATTGACGGAAATCTCAGCAAACAACTGCAGCTCTCAAGTCTGTGGTGAAACCTAGATACATGTTTCTTTGTTAAGTCACCTACGACAAACGTTATTTTGCTTTTATATTATACAAAATAAAGGCTCGCTGTAATGAAAATCACACCGCTGTCTGACTACATGGCAACAGAGAAGCTCCCTACCACCGGTACGTCAGGGGGTCACTCGGCGTATAAGCTTCAAGAACCAAAAGGACAAAACTATCCCGGCGTCAGTGTGTTAGCGCGTCAAATGCTTTTGGAAGCTTTTGGCTCTGAACGCGCCTTAAGAAACAGTAACGTCAAAAAGGAAATGAAACACTGAACTGAATGGATTCTTTCCCCAAAACAGGTGTTAAGACTTGAAGTGAGATCTGTAGAGTCTGCCTCTGGGTTCACAGGTTGCAGGCCTAGCTCCGTCTCCCTTCCACTTGGTCCAGTTGCTTTCAGACCTGCTTCTCTACAGGTTTAATGTGTTTCAGTAGAGATGATACCATTAGTAAAAGACATTTCGACTTTCACAGACAAATGGTTTCTCCTCAGTGTGGATCTCTGTTGCACTTTGAGATGACCAAT